GCGTCGGGTTACGACCAACTCGGGATATGCCCAGAGTCATGGAACGGATTAAGTTCGTATCCCGAGGTACCACTGTACTGTCAGCTGTAAAAATATTCTCTCATTTTACTTTGTAGTCCAGTTAAATACTTTGCAGTGCATATCAATCAAATGTATCAACAAAGTTTATGAAGAAGTATCATTTGAACAGTTAAACTCAACTAGCAGCATAACTTCTGGTACCACTTTAATGTTAGTAGTATCATGGCACCCCAACCAACCTACTTGTTCATGGAGAAAGAGAACATGTTTTTGCTGATAAGCAGCACTGTGTTGAGTTTCTAGGTTGCTATATTTTCAGTTGCTTCTTTTTGAAAAAGAGGCCTTTCCTAGAGTTCCCCTGCCTAGGTATTGGGAATTAATGCTAACCTACATTTTTTAGGATTGTTGATAAAATAGTCAAAAGGTTGTAGAAAAGTAAATAAAGTGTCGCTTTGTGTGAGATGGGCGGGTATATAAATGTGATATATAAATAAATAAATAAAACACCAAGTACTTATGCTGAGTATCTATGCATTTGCTTCCTCCCACTTTCTCACATGTTCTCCTAAACCATGGAAGACAACATAGCTAGTAGCAGAATGAAGTATAACTTAGCAAAAGCAACAGTGGGGATTGTTCTTATGTTTTTATTTCCATTTCTCAGAATACCTCATCCACCACTAGAATGTGACTTCAGACATACGTAGCCCATTGTATCTGCCAATACTTGCCATGGAAACAAGCATAAAGCTTCTGCTCTAGTTTGCAATGCTCTGTGCACTACCTATTAGAATTTTTCAAATCAGAACTTATCAATCACAGAATGAATAGAAAAAAATTAACATGAATTCATTAATTACACTTACTGCACTATTGACTACCAGAGTCTCTTAATGATTTACAATAAACTCATACATATTATTGTTATTGCTCATTAGAACTTCATGTTTTCTTCCTTCTCAGTTATTTATCTAAACAAAGGAATATTATGTACATTCTAGCAATCCCATATGCTACTTCATTCTATTCTACCACAGTTTACCTAACACTCTGTTGTCCTTACTTTCCATCCAAGATTGCTTCCATTTTCAATCAAATGGAAGGAGAAGACATGAGAAGATCAGTGTTGACCAAGAATCATGAGAGGGACGGATTGTGGAGGAATTGCATTAGATGAAAGTGACTATTTTACAAGAGATGGGAGGAACGAGCTAAAGGAACCTATGGGATAAGGAATACACTAGATGTTAAATTACTATAGTAAATCTAAACAAACGTTACTGTTACTAATAATTGCTGTTGCAAAGGATCACTCAATTGGTATACATTTCAATTTGCACAAAAAGGAAAACCAAAGTGATAACAAGCTAGAGAAGCTCCCCTGTGATGAAAACTAGAGTGTTTAGGACTTCTTTAGCTTGAGCAAAAGTGGGAACGGGGAGACACGATATTGGTAATAAAATCAGTTGTGGCATAGAAAATGTAATCAGGCAAAAAGTATTTTTCACTTTAAGAACTCACTCAGCCATCAAAACTAAATGAGGCAAGATTCAGCACTGATAAAAGGAGCACTTCTTTACAGAACACACAGACAAATTATGGAATTTGCTGCCATCAGAAAAGTTGATGGCCTCCAATTTAGACAGGTTTGAAAGGGCAGTGAACAAATTCAGAAATGAAGCTATTAATGGATACTAGTCTTGATGGCTGTTTATTATTTCCAGAATCACAGGCAGCAGATTTTAAATACCACCTGCTAACAAATAATAGAAGAGGTCTATCACTCTCCTCTGCATGTTTGTGAGCTTGTTGAATGCATATAGTTATCCAAGTGATAAAGAATAGTCCAAAAACAGGCAAAACATGTTGGCAAATATATATTTATATATTTGATCAATATAGTTCTTCAGTCTGAATTCCAGCTCAACATACACATTTAAGCG